TGTGAAATAATATTTACCTAATTTGCATTATTTTCAGCTTTTGATATTTCAAGTACTATTACTACCGTACTTTCCCGAGCATAAGCCCCTCCTCGAGTATAAGCCTACCCCTCTGTTTTTAGACATTTAATGAGTTGAGGGCATCCTCGAATATTTTTACCAAGCGTCAATAACATTTATTAAAATATGAATGTAAAAAGTGTATTTTGGTAGTTTGGTTCCTGCTTTTACGAAAAAACTCACATTCATTTCAGAGTGCATGGCGGGTAGAACATAGTTTGCACCTTTTCTATTCTGTTATTTACTCAGGATGAACCTCGATATTGCAATACTGAAGTAATCTATATTTCTTTGAGTAGTAGTTTTCCAAACGCCAAAAATGTGATCGTCAAGTCGTGAAACCTGGTCATTGAACATTGTTTTACTTTTCCAAATAATCATGTTCATTGAGACTATCGTGAATGGGGTGTGAACGAGGTATTTTTTGACATGACTTGTTGACGACTATGAAAGGTTTAAATACTTCCTCAACCCTCAGTTTACTGGCCTTTCAGAAAATTGTTGAATCAACAGCTTTTAGGGGAAAAAAATCACCTTTTTGTTGGTCAAAATCAGTGTCACAGATCGCATTTGAACATCGCGGTAATTCACTTCCGCATTGCGTTGAAAAAATTACTTCTTCAATAATCTAAAAACTTCGTCTGTACAACACAGCATTTAACGAAAGATGAATTATGATGAAAAACACCATGGCGGAAATTGCTTTGTATTGAGAGTTTGCGTATGATCAAAAACATTCCACAACGAAGATGATAATGATCTTGCCTTCGACTGTTTACCCATTTTCGCATCGTAAATTCAGATGGTATGTAAACAGGAATTTAATAAAATGTGTGTATTTTTATGAACATGTTTGTTTCTTCATTGTTGTGGAAATCAATGACGACTAGTTTCACATTCTTTTCTTCAAAAAGACTTACTATTTCTCCGAGACCGGCGCTGTGAATGACAAATGTAATTTAGATAATTTTTCGTGTGAACCTCCCAAAAAATTATCTCTTCTGAGGTGGTCCTCGAGTATAAGCCCCCCTAATGATCGAGCAAGTACGGTAATATTATTACTATTAGAACAATGCAAAGACCTGATTAATTTTGGGTAAAAATGTTTGCATATTAATCAAATAATTAATTGGCTTTTACACTGATATCGCAAGAACTAATTATCCCATTTCAATGAATCTTACATACATAGATGTTCTAGGACAATGCACATACCTTAATTGCTTAATTTGTATAATATTTCATTTGGTTCATTGAGGTAATCCAGAGACGTGATTATTGTTTAATGTTGATAAACATGCATATTGATTATCTATTATTAGCCCATTTCTGATATCTAAAACAAATCAGATTTAATTTGAATTCATCACAGAGGTGCTCTGGAATAAATTAGACCAAAAACCATGGATGAAAAATCAAAATAATGTATTTTCTGTATAAATTTTGATAATTTGAATCACATGTTGTGCATCTCAAATAGCAGACGAATATTAGTTGCCAAGCTTCATGTTTGGAAAGCAAATCTTAAATTTTGAATTCATTTTAATTTGTCTCCAATACTCTCAGCACACTGGAGTTTTTTCTAAGCTTTCTTTGATTATTTATTTCAAATTGCAGACAATAGCAGCTGTGCTCTTCCGGAAGATACTCCTCAATTCACGTGTCTCAATAGCGGTGAATGCATCTCAGAAGAGCACACATGTGATTATCACCATAATTGTATTGATGGAACTGACGAAGCACATGATCTCTGTGATTCAAGTAAGTTGAGAGAACCAAGGGCAGAAAAATTTTAAGTCTGAAATGTATAATAATATATTCAAGCTCTTGACCATTATGTCATTCAATCCCATTACCTCAGCCTATTTTGCTTTTGCCAAGAATTGTATGGAGAAACAGAGCTGTCTTTGGAATTCATTTTACACATGTTTCATATCTTGCCCAACAACAATTAAATTATTGATTTTTTTTGAGTAATCACAGTTCAAGAATTGTAAGATATCACTAACTGCAATTTTGCACTTGAATGAACAGTATACATATAGTACTTGTACATGTATATAACACCCATGCCCATGTTTAACATAGCACTTGACTAAGGCCATATATGTATATGCAGTAATAATGTTTCTATTATCACAGACACAACTTTTCACTATTCTATTATTTTACCAGGATGACACGTGAAAACAGATTATATGTAATAAAAACAGACATAATCTTGTCTTATCACATCCTCATTTTAGGACCAGGGCAGTGTGACTTTCAGGATGGATTTTGTTCTTGGAAGCAATCTTGTCATGATGACTTTGACTGGAAGAGAATCAAAGGTCAAAACTCTGTAGCGGGACCTTACAGAGATCACTCACTAAGAAACAGTTTAGGTCAGTTTTTGACTCCCGTGTGCGAAGCACAAAAAGGGAGTCTTTGCAGTTAGTGTGTCTGTATGTGTATGTGTGTGTGTGTGTATGTGTGTGTGTGTGTCCGACTGTTCCACTGATATCTCAAGAACCATACATCAGTTTTTGATGAAACTTGATGCATAGATGCTCTGGGCCAATGCGCAGATTTGATTAGGTTTTGGTAAAAATCCATGCATATTAATTACCTAATTTGCATGATAATTAGCTGATTTTTAGTGGTTTCATGACTGTTCCACTGATATCTAAAGAACCACTCATTGGACTTTGATGAAAAGATGTCATAGAACACTGCACAAACCTGATAGTTTTTAGGGTAATATCAGTATACATTAATTAGCTAATTTTCAGCTTTTGATATCTCAAGTACTAATCATTACATTTCAATAAAACTTGGTACATAGATGTCATAGGACACTGTACAGACCTGATAGTTGTTAGGGTAATACGAGTACATATTAATTACCTAATTAGCATAATTAATTAATTTTCAGCTTCTAATATTTCAAGTAGTAATCACCACATTTCAATAAAACTTGGTACATAGATGTCATAGGACACTGTACAGACCTGATAGTTGTTAGGGTAATACGAGTACATATTAATTACCTAATTAGCATGATTAATTAATTTTCAGCTTCTAATATTTCAAGTAGTAATCACCACATTTCAATAAAACTTGGTACATAGATGTCATAGGACACTGTACAGACCTGATAGTTGTTAGGGTAATACGAGTACATATTAATTACCTAATTAGCATAATTAATTAATTTTCAGCTTCTAATATTTCAAGTAGTAATCATCACATTTCAATGAAATTTGGTACATAGATGTCATAGGACACTGCACAGACCTGATAGTTTTTAGGGTAATATCAGTATATATTAATTAGCTAATTTTCATAATTAATTAATTTTCAGCTTTTGATATTTCAAGTAGTAATCATCACATTTCAATGAAACTTGGTACATAGATGTCATAGGACACTGCACAGACCTCATAGTTTTTAGGGTAATATGAGTACATATTAATTACCTAATTTGCATAATTAATAAATTTTCAGCTTTTGATATATCAAGTAGTAATCATCATATTTCAATGAGACTACATAGATCTTCTAGGATTATGCAGACACCTGATTAGTTTTAATTGGAGATTAATTACCTAATTTGCACAAATTGGATTTTAATGAAACTTTTAAAGAGAACTATTCAGAAACCCAATTAGTTTTTGGTAAATATTTATGCTTATTAATCACCTAATTAACATAATTAATTAACACTGATATCTCAATTACTGATCATCACATTTGAATAAAATTTGGTACATAAATAGACAGGCCTGATTAATTTTGATTAATATTAATTCTCTAATTAGCATAATAATTCATAATTTTTTTGTTCTGTTCTGTTCATATTAGTAACCTGATTTACATAATTAGTTTTCAGCTTTTCCATCAATATCTCATGTACAAGTAATTTTTAATGTGTCTTCAATACTCTCAGCACACGGGAGTTATTTCTAAGCTTTCTTTGATATAAATATTTAACCCTATGTGTGCCAAACTCAACCTTTTTCCCTTTTTCCACAAACATTTATTTCACATTCTGTATTCAACCAGAATGTCAATTCCAAATATAGAATGATTAAGTGGTATTTCCGAAGTGAAGAACATTTTTATAAATTTATAGTTTCATTTTTTTTTCAATATATTTTCTGGGCATCATACACTGGGGTCTGGAAGATGTATAATAAGGTTGTTATGAGGATAACGCACTCAGACTGCATATATAGAGACATTGACCTCTGCTATGTGTCCAGTGATTCTGCAGCTGTACCATTGCAACACCCTCTCAATAACCACATATTATTAAGACATATATAATATATATGTATAAAGGAAATAAACAGGTTACATGAATTGCACTCCAATATAACTTCTTTTACATTGTTTTTTTAAGGTTTCTATGCATACATTGATGCTAGTGCACAACAAACCAATGAAGTTGCTGAGCTAAGGAGTTTGACTTTATCTACGTCTCCCACTGAGCTATGCAAGGTAGGCTAGTTTGCTTTATCTACATCTCCCACTGAGCTATGAAGGTAGGCTAGTTTGACTTTATCTACATCCCTCACTGAGCTATGAAGGTAGGCTAGTTTGACTTTATCTACATCTCTAACTGACCTATGCAAGGTAGGCTAGTTTGACTTTTTCTACATCTCTAACTGACCTATGCAAGGTAGGCTAGTTTGACTTTATCTACATATCTCTCACTGAGCTATGAAGGTAGGCTACAAATGTAGTTTGACTTTATCTACATCCCTCACTGAGCTATGAAGGTAGGCTAGTCTGACTTTATCTATATCTCCCACTGAGCTATGCAAGGTAGGCTAGTTTGACTTTATCTACATATCTCCCACTGAGCTATGCAAGGTAGGCCAGTTTGACTTTATCTATATCTCCCACTGAGCTATGCAAGGTAGGCTAGTTTGACTTTATCTATATCTCCCACTGAGCTAAGCAAGGTAGGCTAGTTTGACTTTATCTACATCTCTCACTGACCTATGCAAGGTAGACCAGTTTGACTTTATCTACATCTCTCACTGAGCTATGCAAGGTAGACCAGTTTGACTTTATCTATTTCTCCCACTGAGCTATGCAAGGTAGGCTAGTCTGACTTTATCTACATCT